TGTGTGATCAGGAAGCCTGGTATCCAATCAAGATGGTCCCTGGTCATCTCTATTGTCCTGGAACCAGGGTTGTTGGATTCCTATTGCCCGACACCCGGACATGTAGTTCCAGGCAGGTAGTTTTTTTTTTTCTCCCTTTAGCCCTGCTTCGGGAAAGCAGTGCGCTCACACTGTCAAGTGGAAGCATTTGGGTGACAGCACTGTCACCCAAAATGTTTCCACACAGTGCCAGCCTCCAACCCCCCCATGAGGTCTCCCAGGCTCCGCTTGCCCATCTGTGTGCCCGGCTCACCGTCAGCTAGAGGGGATGAAGAAGAGTGGACACGTCCGCTCCCCTCCCCTTCTTGTCCTGACCCGGAAGTGACGTTATGTGACGTTATGTCACATCCGGGTTCCCGTTGAGAGATTGTAATGCAATCCCCGGGAAAAAATGTAATGCGGTGGGAAGTGGTAAAGCCAACTTTAGGTGGTTAACAGCAAAAATTCCCTTTGTGTTGGTGGTCAGTAGGAAGAATGCAACCCTTACGGTGGTGGCCAGAATACCACCCTTACAGGCAGCTTATAAGGTAACTGGTGGTTTTGTCAAGTGGTGCAGGTCCTGGAACCATACAGGCACCATCAAATGAGAGGTCAATGAACCGAGGCTCAAGGAACCCCTAGCTACCTCTGGAGGAACCCTGGTTGAGAATGGCTGCTCTAGGGCCTCTGACCAGTATATATAATTTTTGGGGGTTCTGAGTAATTTCTAACAAAAAAAAACGAAATGATGATTTTTTACATGTAGGGGAGAAATGTCAGAATTGGCCTCCGCTGTCTGTCTACAGTGAAACCTGCATAGATCACCTAGTCTCCTGAGGAAGCCTATTGGACGAAATTCATTGGGGCGGATCCAAATGGCTCTGATGTTACTCCTGGTCTACTAGGCAGAACTTTGTGGACTGCACGCTCCATTGTGAAACGGCTGCAATCCTTATATATGTAGCTAAGTCTGATTGTGCCAACTAGCTTGCAGCCACCAACAAATGTGAGTGCATTGGATGTTTTACAGTTGTATACGATGAGTTCCTTCCTGTCTTCTTCTGACCCTACGAGTGGAGTCTTGGAGGACTGGAGGAACGGAGGATTACACCCCCACTATTATAAGGCGTGCTTGACCTTTGTTGGGAAGGTTCAACCCTTGTGGTGAGTTTACGCTGTCCAAGGGGCGCACATAGGATTCTCAACACCTTTAAGCAGTGGATGGAGTGCAAGTGAATTTTCCATTTTGACTGGAGCACAGTGTGTGGAATATTGATAATTGTCACTTTTCCGAACATTATCATTTTTATTTATGTGTGGAACACTATTTATGGATGGTGGGATGGACACTATGGTTTTAATTTCACTGGGATTAATTCATTTCTTCATGTTTTTGTGTATATATAGTTTTTGTCAAACAGGGAATACAATCGCTGTTGTTTGATATATCATTGCACCTATATTTTATTTAACACTTAATAGCGCTTCCTCATTTTATATATATTTTTGCATAGATCACATGACCATGTCAATAATCATGGAGGAGGACTGGAGTCACACGATTGAGAGGATACTAAACCTCACGCTGGAGATCATCTACCTGCTGACTGGAGAGGTGAGGAGGATTCTGGGAGGTCACATGACATCACTCTTATCTCTATTAATAAAACGCAGACCTGACCGGAGAGGTGAGGAGGATTCTGGGAGGTCACATGACTTCACTCTTTTCTCTATTAATAAAACGCAGACCTGACCGGAGAGGTGAGGAGGATTCTGGGAGGTCACATGACATCACTCTGATCTCTATTAATAAAACGCAGACCTGACCGGAGAGGTAAGGAGGGTCCTGGGAGGTCACATGACATCACTCTTATCTCTATTAATAAAACGCAGACCTGACTGGAGAGGTGAGGAGGATTCTGGGAGTCACATGACATCACTCTTATCTCTATTAATAAAAACGCAGACCTGACCGGAGAGGTAAGGAGGATTCTGGGAGGTCACATGACATCACTCTTATCTCTATTAATAAAACGCAGACCTGACCGGAGAGGTGAGGAGGATTCTGGGAGGTCACATGACATCACTCTTATCTCTATTAATAAAAAACGCAGACCTGACCGGAGAGGTGAGGAGGATTCTGGGAGGTCACATGAAATCACTCCTATCTCTATTAATAAAACACAGACCTGACCGGAGAGGTGAGGAGGATTCTGGGAGGTCACATGACATCACTTATCTCTATTAATAAACCGCAGACCTGACCGGAGAGTTGAGGAGGATTCTGGGATTCTAACATGATATTCCTATTGGTTTTCCAATACAGAGGTTTCTCTATTCCGAAGTCAGGTGATCATATGACCATCACAGTGCCTCCATGTGACTCCTCCCTAAAACCTGAGAGACACAACATGCAGAAGATTCTAGAAGTCACCAAGAAGATGATGGAGCTGCTGACAGGAGAGGTGAGCGGTGCCGGGAATTCTGGGACATTCTCCAGTAACAGACAAGGGATGTGTCTGGATGGTGACTGTATCATTGTGTGTGTCAGGTTCCTATAAGGTGTCAGGGTGTCACTGTCTATTTCTCCATGGAGGAGTGGGAGTATTTAGAAGGACACAAGGATCTCTACAAGGACGTCATGATGGACAATCAGCCGCCCCTCACATCACCGGGTAAGAGGAGACTTTATTGTAAAGGAGAGAGCAGTACGGAGGATCCACCTAGATCCCCCATCATCTGATAAACACATAGAAACAATGGATTCAGTCAGTGTGTGTGTTTCCTACAGATGGATCCAGTCATGGGATCCCACCAGAGCGATGTCCCCGTCCTCTGTATTCCCGGGATTCCACACAGGAAGGTCACACCATCCCTCACCATCATCAGGTCGGTGGAGTTGAGGGTCTGGAACATAAAGTGATGGAACACTCTGACATGTGGAGACGATGTGTGGACTCTACAAGATGATATTTTCTATGTGATCTCACATCATAAATCCTTCTATATTACAGATGTTATTTCTGCCATTCTGTTGGTTTAGGGTGAAGATCTGATGAAGATGAAAGTTGAGGGTGAAGTAGAAGAGACGTATGTGAGGGATGATCAGCAATATACGGAGGAGGCTGGAATGACGAGGACATTCAAAGAGGAGGACACTCCTACAGAGATCAGCACAGGTGAGTCACAATATATTCTTCTGCTATCTCTGCTCTGTTACTGCTCACTGATTGGTCCAGAGTAGGGTGGGAGATGAGTGATGTCATAGGTTGATAATAGTCACCTCCTAGTACTGATTCCCGTCCTGCACATTAGATCTTCTTTTCTATCAGATAAACCCCCTTTGTGCTGCAGACACAATCAATATATTCAGACAAGATCAGTTCAGCGCGGGATGGCCAAACTTGTTGAATCCGAACCCCATTGGATTTAATGGGAAGTAAATCTTAGAAATGAGGAATGGCCATTTTCTATGTTAATAGGCAAGGGATTGTCAAACAAATAGGGGACTGTACCAATGTACTATAGCAAATACATTATGTAATGCTAATAAGGACCCCTTGCAAAAAAGGATTCTCCTTTAAAGTGTATACAAGACCGTCATCTGAGCATGCATCCTGTAAAAGAGGAATAGGTGAGGGGGCAACCATTTGAACACCTCCTGAACCTTACCTTGCCCCATGCTCTTAGCATGGGGTAGTTCCTTACCTGGGGGACCACCTTGGTAAAGAATCTTGTCCCCATGTTGTTGGGAACAAGATCCTCTTTCCCACAAAAACTGGCCACTGGCTGTGAGGGTCTGAGAAACCTGGAAGTTCTCTTTAAAAAATATGGGGACCTTTATATCCCCCCCAAATATGACAGACTAAGGGGTACCCCTACTGTTCTGTTCCAAATGCTGCTTAATGTATTGACAACTCTTCTTAAGCCAAGTCTGTCCTGAGACTATGGTCACCTGCTGACTTGGCACTGTCCACAGGCAGCTCAACTCTTCATAAAGACACAAGCTGAATCGGGCGATATTTTACTTCAGCTAACTGCAGTACAGAGGGTGTTTTTCTAATCTTTTGAAGGGTACAGTAGTAGGTTGGGGCCTCTTATTTTAACTGGCTTATAGTTAAGGTTAACCTAAAACTCTTTTAACAGTCTTTTGGGGTTGAAAAGTAAGGAGGAACATAGAAAATGGCAACACTTGCATTTGCAACAGAAAATACTGCTCCAAAAATTTTCCAGTGCTGTTTATCATCAGAAGCCTAGGCCTATGGTCACCTGTTCTGTGCTAAAGGTTCTCTAAGTCTGATCTTTGAGGCTCTTCATTATCAGGCTTGTGGTTGTGTGAAGAGCATGTCCCTCCCAGTCCTCATTGGTTCCTGCTCTTCTGACAAGTCTGGGGAAATGTAGAAGTGATCTGGGGGGGAGGACCAAAGGACCTTTTACTGAAGAGGGGAAGTCACAGCTGGGTGGGACATCCGCAGAGAACATCTCACTAATACCTACCTGATCTAGATGGAATCTTGATTTGATGCCTAGACCTTGGGTCTCTTGTTCTCTACTAAAGGGTCTCCAAGTTTGAACTTTGAACCTCTTTATTATCAGAGATCACATGACCCAGTGCCTAGGCTTGTGGTTGTGTGAAGAGCATGCCCCTCCCAGTCCCCATTGGTTCCTGCTCTTCTGACAAGGCTGGGGAAATGTAGAAGTGATCTGGGGGAGGACCAAAGGACCTTTTACTGAAGAGGGGAAGTCACAGCTGGTTGGGACATCTACAGAGAACATCTCACTAAAACCTGCCTGATCCAGATGGAATGTTGAGTTATGTGAACTAACCATCTTGTATCTATTGATCATGTTCTTTTTATATTTTTCCAGGACACGCCATCGAGAAACCCTCAAAGGATCGTCTCACTTTATCACCAGGCTGTAAAATTGAAGATGAGGAGATCACAATAGATTGTGTAGGAGAAACGACAATGAGCTCAGCTATGGATGGTGGACTTCACAGTGTGGATGGACCATCATATTTCTCTGACTCTGGGCAACCTCGTACTGTGAGGGATGGTACCGGAATTCAGGGGGAGGAGACATTTTCCTGTCCTGAATGTGGTGAAAATTTTGACTCCTTGTCCCATCTTTACAAACACCAGAGCTCTCACAAGAGGAAAAATTTATATCCCTGTCCTGAGTGCGGGAAATATTTTTCAGAGATGTCCAATCTTTACACACATCAGAAGATTCACACAGGAATGAAGCCATATTCCTGCTCTGAATGTGGAAAATCTTTTCCACATAAATCAAAACTTGTCAGACATCAAACATCTCACACGGGGGAGAGGCCGTATTCCTGCCCTGAGTGCGGAAAATGTTTTCCAGAAAAGTCCAGTCTTTACAGACATCAGAGGATTCACACGGGTGAGAAGCCACATTCCTGTCCTGAGTGCGGAAAATGTTTTTCACAGAAATCAGCCCTTGTTAAACATCAAAGATCTCATACCATGGTGGAGTCATCCAGCTACACAAACCCACCAGAGAAATGTCCCCGTCCTCTGTATTCCCAGGATTCCACACAGGAAGATCACACCATCCCTCACCATCATCAGGTAGGTGGAATTGAGGGTCTGGAACATAAAGTGATTGAACACTCTGACATGTGGACACGATGTGTGGACTCTACTAGATGATATTTCTCTTCCGTTCATTGAAGGACACCGCAAGATCTGTCGATGGTGACCAATGGGTTTATTATGCCACCTGCAAGAGTTGAACACTAGGTACAAAGTAAACACACCCTACGGGCAGCCTCCATCTGTACCATTCAACCCAGTAGCTCTTCGGAGGGACATAGTTTTTTTTCTGCTCTCTTTTTTTTCTTTTTATTTCTCTTTGTTCCTGTCGATGTTAGTCTTGTCTTTTATCAACCGTAGTGCTGGGCGACAGGCTGGATATATACATCCTGGTAACCACTCCAGCACTGCCTGGGATAGTATGCAGTTGCTTGCCCATGCAGGCTCGGCTGCGGTGACTCCACTATGGTGGAGTATCCCAGATAGCTCTGTTCCTCCATGATCATTCCTTGTCATTCCATCGCAACACCACAGTTCAGCCATTAATCCCCAGGTTGGAGGCATTCGCAAAGCCCTGAAGACATCTGCCTCTTCCTTCCATGGGAATTGACTGGTTTAGCTGTGGGTCCTCAGGTTCCAGGATAATTCTGCTGTCTTTGAGTAGTTTTCTTTGGAGGGTACATTGGATTGCTGTGGGTCTTCCCGAGATCCTCAGTCTACATTTTCTTTCACCGATACAGACTCCCTTTCCCCCTGGGCAGAACCATGCTGCCTATGTGGGGCAGTGATGTGGGGGCTTGCTGTTTGCTGGGCTGGGACTGCCTGGGTTTTGCTATGCCAGTGGCTGAGAGCAGAAAACATGTGAAAAGGTTACAAGCACTACCCAGGAGCAAGAAAACAGCGAATTGCACAGTTTTACTAGCAGCTATCAGTGGGCTGTTGCAGTGTTACCGCAGTTGCCATTTTGACTGTGGGTGCTTGCCCTACTGGCGTTGATCCTGCTGAGAGCAGTGTCTCCTGGATTCTGGAGGGTTGGTCCTTATAACTGAGCATTACCACTGTTGGAACCTCTCTACTACAGGTACCACTGCTATTTTCCCTGGGTGTGTGTGCCTGGTAGGGTCAGTAGTTCTTGTTTGGGGTCACTCCCTGTATGCACACATTCACGCCTTTTTTCATCAAGAGCAAGTCATGGTGAATGGACCGAGGGATGTGGGGAACTTGGGGACAGTTATCCTCTTCTTTCCTGTGCCAGTGGAATGGTGTCTAGGACTGCTTTCCACTTGGACATCACCTGGTAACTATCACTTCGGCTCTCAGGGTCCATTTTGGACAGCACCATATCTGTCGCCTACATCAATCACCAGGCAGGTACAAAGAGCTTGGAAGGCTGAGCTGGAGGTGGCTCAGATCCTTGATTGGGTGCAAATTCACTTTCCAGCCTTGTCCACCTTTCACATTTTGGGAGTGGACAATTGGCAGATGGACTTTCTCTGTCGTCAATGTCTGGATCAAGTGGAGTGGATTCTCCATCTGAATGTTTTTCGCCAAACTTGTCAACTTTGGGGCACACCAGTCATAGATCTCCTTTCGTGCAGACTCAATTGTAAATTTACCAGGTTTGTGGCCAGGTCAAAGGGTCCCTGAGCCAAGGTACTCCTACAAAGTGAGCGAGTCGTTCCACCCATAAGATTTCCACTGACGCCATGGGATCTCATTTATTTATGCCAGTCCTGCAAAAGCCTTTCTTCGAGAATATCCAGGGAATTCCTCTTCTGACTCTCTCGCAAAACGTGGCCCTCATGGTAACCATCACTTTAACATGCAGGGTAGCTGACCTAGGAGCTCTTGCTTGTAAGCAACCATTTTTGGAGCTACAAAAGGTGATACTTTGGGCTTGGTTGGGCAGCACAGTGGCTAAATGGTTAGCACTTCCACCTGGCAGTACTCAGGTCGTTGGTTTGAATCCCAGCCACGGCACCACCTGCCTGGAGTTTGCATGTTCTCCCTGTACCTGTGTGGGTTTCCTCCGGATACTCCAGTTTCCTCCCAACCTCCAAAGACATTGCTGGTAGGATAATTGGCTCCTGTCTAAATTGTCCCTAGTATGTGTAATGTATGAATGTGAGTTAGGGACCTTAGATTGTACACCCCTTGAGGGTTAGGGGCTGATGTGAATGTACAATATATATGTAAAGCGCGGCATAAATTGATGACGCTATATAAGTACCTGAAATAAATAATTCAGTGGTGGTCGGTGGTATTGATAGTTATGATAATTGTTTCACAGCACTTTTTTTACCTCCTTAAAGTAAGCTCTCTCCTTATTCCCCCTCCACCAAACAAGGTCCTCAATTCAGCCTCATGTACGCATGAACTTCCCTAGACGTTTAAAACGCGCGTATAAAGGCATGATTAAATGCCCAAGCGCTAAACGCGGCTAGTGTCTACACGCATTTTGTCAGGTTTACCTGCATTTAGCGCTTGGACGTTTATTCATGTCAATGGAAAATGTTCTGACTAATCAAATGAATCCAAGCTCTAAACTCAGGTAAACCTGACAAATCAAATGAATCCAAGCTCTAAACTCAGGTAAACCTGACAAATCAAATGAATCCAAGCTCTAAACTCAGGTAAACCTGACAAAAACACGTGTAGACACTAGCCGCGTTTAGCGCTTGAACTTTTATTCGTTTTATTGGCCAGAATATTTTCCATTGACATGAATAAATGCCCAAGCGCTAAACGCGGCTAGCGTTTACACACGTTTTTGTCAGGTTTACCTGCGTTTAGCGCTTGGGAGTTTATTCATGTCAATGGAAAATATTCTGGCCAATCTCAAACGAATAAATGTACAAGCGCTAAACACAGGTAGACCTGACAAAAACGTGTGTAGATGCTAGCCGCGTTTAGCGCTTGGGCGTTTATTCATGTCAATCGAAAATATTCTGGCCAATCAAATGAATAAACGTCCAAGCGCTAAACACAGGTAGACCTGAAAAAACGCACGGAAAACGCTAGCCACGTTTAGCGCTTGGGCGTTTATTCATATCAATGCAAAATATTCTGACCAATCAGATGAATAAATGTCCAACCGCTAAACGCAGGTAAACCTGTCAAAAACGCATGTGAACATTAGCCGCGTTTAGCGCTTGGGTGTTTATTCATGTCAATGGAAAATATTCTGGCTAATCAAATGAATAAATGTCCAAGCGCTAAACGCATGTAGACCTGACAAAAATGCGTGTAGACGCTAGCCGCGTTTAGCGTTTGGACATTTATTCATCTGATTGGCCAGAATATTTTGAATTGATATGAATAAACGCCCAAGCGCTAAACGTGCCTAGCGTTTACACGCATTTTTGTCAGGTTTACCTGCGTTTACCGCTTGGACATTTATTCATCTGATTGACCAGAGTATTTTCCATTGACATGAATAACCACCCAAGCACTAAACGCGGCTAGCGTTTACGCGCGTTTATACACTGTTTTGATGCGTTTAACTTTTTTTGCCAAAACGTTTCCCTCCTGAACGTCTAACTGCCCCTAAACTCTGCAGCTCCTAAACTCTGGTGAAAGCCTAGGTGTACATGGACCCATAGGCTTTTATTGAGTTGTGTTCAGGGGCTTTGGCAGAAAAACGCCAAAAGCTCCAAAACTCACGTTGTACATGAGGACTTAGTAAGTCTCCATGGCTGTGTGTCCTTCACAATTGTATCTTCTGCCATTCTGTTGGTTTAGGGTGAAGATCTGATAAAGATGAATGTTGAGGGTGAAGTAGAAGAGACGTATGTGAGGGATGATCAGCAATATACGGAGGAGGCTGGAATGACGAGGACATTCAAAGAGGAGGACACTCCTACAGAGATCAGCACAGGTGAGCCACAATATATTCTTCTCTTATCTCTGCTTTGTTTTTCAAGCTATGAATAAGAGCTAGATGAGGACGAAACACGTTAGGGTTGTTCTGTGTTTCCCTCTGCTGCGTTCACGTTTTTGTGATTTGTTTTTTTTTTTTTTTAGAATCTCTTAAGGATGATTTTAGAAGCCAACTTTTTCCTTTCCTTAGCTCTGCTCTGTTACTGCTGCACTGATTGATCCAGAGTAGGGCGGGAGATAAGTGATGTCATAGGTTGATAAGTCACCTCTTTGTACTGATACCCGTCCTGCACATTACATCTCTCTCAGATAAACCCCCTTCTCTGTGCTGTAGACACAATTTATTTATTCAGATATTTATATACAGTGATGAGCTTTTTCCTGGGTCCGGTTCAGGGTGGATTGGATTGACTTTTATTGAAGTTTGAATCCTGCATTCAAAAACCAATGGGAAATCAGTAATGGCCATTTTCCATGCTAATAGGCGAGTGACTGTCAAACAAATAGAGGGCGGGACACTGCCCTGGGGAACATATACTAAAAACAAAAAAAAATGTAAACTTCCATTTGGTAGGGAGCAGCAACATTACACATACAAAATTACTTTAACCCCTTGACCTCCTGAGGATTTCCCCCCCCCCCCCCCTTCCTGACAAGGCCATTTTTTTACGTTACAGCGCTACGTTACTTTAATTGACAATTGCGCAGTCATGCAACGCTGCACCCAAATTAAGTTTTATGTACTTTTTTTCCCACGCATTGAGCTTTCTTTCGGTTGTATTTGATCGCCTGTGCGATTTTTTTTATTTTTTGCGCTAAAAAAAGACCAACGATTTTGAGAAAAAAACAATATTTTTGACTTTCTGCTATTAAACAAGTCCAGTAAAAAAATAAAAAAATCTAATTTCATCATACATTTAGACCAAAATGTATTCTGCTCCATGTCTGTGATAAAAAAAAAATCCCAATACGTGTAAATAATAATTAGTTTACGTGAAAGTAATAGTGTTTACAAATGGCGGTATAGATAATGGAACTTTTTTTTTCTAACTAGTAATGGCGGCACTCAGCGACTTATAGCGGGACTGCGGAGGGCATTCTGACACTAGCGGGGGGAACTGACTTGGTGTCACTGACATCCCCAGTGACACCAATACAGTGATCAGTGCTAAAAAAAAGCACTGACACTGTCCTAATGGCACTATGCAGGAAGGGGTTAACAGGAGCAATCAAAGGGTTAACTGTGTGCTTTTTTTTACATAGTGCTGTGTCCATATGCTTCACTGTAAGCACACTGCTTTGGATGGCTGTGCTGTGCACAGCCATCCAAAGCAGTTTGCATGAGCTGACAGGGAGGAGAACTGTTTTGTTTACAAACAGTTCTCTCCGTCAGAGATGCTCAACAATCACCAGGTGCTGGCGAGTAATCACCAGCCGGGACCCAGTGATTGACAGTTGCAGTCATGAATGGCGGCATGGGTAGGCTGTGCGCCTCCTACCCGGAAATGCAAATTCACGTATATATATGTGATTTTGTGCACCCGTGCTGCCCTATAGCAGTATTTCTGCTATAGGGAGATCGGGAACCGGAACATGATTGGGGTCCCTTAACCCGCCTGTGAATTGGCACATTCGTTTTTAAAAACTGACTCAAGGCACATATTTTCACCTCGGCTTATAGCAATAGAAATGTCATTATTAATATTATTATTATTCTACATCAAACAATAGTAACCTGACACAGCGCAATACAACACAGAAAAAACACAACTAGGTGGGACAGAACACCTACTCAATCACATTCCCATCCCTATTCATGTCTGTTCTGAGGTTCAGCTGGCAGTCTGAGGTTGTGTTTGAATTCTAGTTACAGTAGCATTTTCTTAGGATGGTCCCTCTTCTTTGAGCTGAAGGTTACCATAAAACAGTCTTGGGGTGACAAGTAAGGAGGAACATTTATATTTGCAACATAATATACTTCTCCAGACAGCACCCTCCAGTTCTGCGTATCACCAGAAGCCTAGGCACATGGTCACTTTTTCTGTGCTGAAGGTTCTCCGGGTGTGAACTTTGAACCTATTCCTTATCAGAGATCACAAGACCCAGTGCTTAGGCTTGTGGTTGTGTGAAGAGCATGCCCCTCCCAGTCCCCATTGGTTCCTGCTCTTCTGACAAGGCTGGGGAAATGTAGAAGTGATCTGGGGGGGAAGACCAAAGGACCTTTTGCTGAAGAGGGGAAGTCACAGCTGGTTGGGACATCTACAGAGAACATCTGCTCACTAAAACCTACCTGATCCAAATGGAATCTTGATTTGATGCCTAGGCCTACGGTCTCTTGTTCTCTACTAAAGGTTCTCCAAGTCTGAACTTTGAACCTCTTCATTATCAGAGATCACATGACCCCGTGCCTAGGCATGTCGTGTGAAGAGCATGCCCCTCCCAGTCCCCATTGGTTCCTGCTCTTCTGACAAGGCTGGGGAAATGTAGAAGTGATCTGGTGGGAGGACCAAAGGACCTTATACTGAAGAGGGGAAGTCACAGCTGGTTGGGACATCCAAAGAGAACATCTACTTACTGAAACATTTGCTCTGATCCAGATGGAATATTGATTGAAGTGAACTAACTCTCGTGTATCTATTGATCATGTTTTTATTTAACTTTTTTTTTACCAGAACACGCCATCGAGGAACCCTCAAAGGATTGCCTCACTTTATCTCCGGGTTGTAAAATGGAAGATGAGGACATCACAGGAGGTTGTGAAGGAGAAAAAGACAATGAGCTCAGCTATGGATGGTGGACTTCACAGTGTGGATGGGCCATCAAATCTCTCTGACTCTGAGCAACCTCCTACTGTGGGGGATGGGGCTGGAATCCAGGAAGAGGAGACATTTTCCTGTCCTGAATGTGGGGAAAGTTTTATCTCTGAATTAAGTCTTACTGTACATCAGAGATCTCACACGGGTGGGAAGCTTCATTCTTGTTCTGAGTGCGGGAAATGTTTCTTTAAAAAAACTGAACTCATCACACATTACAGATCTCATACTGGCAAGAAGTTGTATTCCTGTCTCAAGTGCAAGAAATGTTTTTCACAATTGTCCCATCTTTACATTCATCAAAGGTTTCACATGAAGACAAAGTTGTATTCCTGCACCGAGTGTGAGAAATGTTTTGCATGGAAATCAGGACTTGTTATGCATCAAAGATCTCACACAGGGGAGAGGCCGTTTTTCTGTCCTGAGTGCGGGAAATGTTTTTTACAGAAATCAGGCCTTGTTAGGCATCAAAGATCTCACAGAGGAGAGAAACCGTATCCCTGTCCTGAGTGCGGGAAATGTTTTTTTACAGTATTCGGATCTTGTTAAACATCAAAGATCTCACAGAGGACAGAAAAGCTATTCCTGCCCCAAGTACGGGAAACTCTTTGTACGGAAATCAGACTATGTTATACATCATACATCTCAAATGGAGGAGAAGCTGTACTCTTGCCCTGAATGTGATAAAAGTTTTTCACTGAAGTCCAATCTTAGCAGACATCAGAGGATTCACACAGGGGAGAAGCCGTATTCCTGTCCTGAGTGTGGGAAATGTTTTTCACGGGCATTCCATCTTTACACACATCATCAGTCTCACACGGGGGAGAGGCCGTTTTCCTGTCTTGAGTGTGGGAAATGTTTTAAACAGAAATGTGACCTTGTTAGGCATCAAAGATCTCACAGAGGAGAGAAGCCGTATTCCTGCTCTGAGTGTGGGAAATGTTTTTCACAGAAATCAAGACTTGTGGTGCATCAAAGATCTCACAGTGGAGAGAAGCCATTTCCCTGCCCTGAATGTGATAAAAGTTTTTCGGATAAGCCCAAGCTTTACAGACATCAGATGATTCACACGGGGAAGAAACCGTATTCCTGCCCTGAGTGTGATAAAAGTTTTTCGGATAAGTCCAAACTTTACAGACATCAGAGGATTCACACGGGGGATAAGCCGTATTCCTGTTCTGAGTGTGGAAAATGTTTTTCACGAGCATCCCATGTTTACAGACATCAATGGTCTCACATGGAGAAGTCAGATTCCTTCCCTAAGAGCGGGAAATGTTTTTTCACAGAATTTAGACCTTGTTGTACATCAAAGATGTGACAGACAGGAGAAGCCGTATTCATGTGCTGAGTGTGGTAAATGTTTTCCATGGAAATCAGACCTTGTTCGACATCAAAGATCTCACACTGGGGAGAAGCCATACTCCTGTCCTGAGTGCAAGAAATGTTTTTCACAGAAATCAGACCTTGTAAGACATCAAAGATCTCACACGGGAGAGAAGCCGTTTTCATGCTCTGAGTGCGGGAAATGTTTTTCAAAGAAACCAGACCTTCTTAAACATCAAAAATCCCATACACATGAAAAGCCACATTCCTTTCCTGAGTGAGCAAAAATATTTTTCACTGGTGTCCCATCTTCACACATATCAGAGGTTTTACACAGGAGAGAAGTACTGTCCTGAGTGTGTAAAATGTTTTTTTTGTTACAGAACTCCTTCCCTGAGTGCGAGAAATGTTTTTCGACCTTGTTATACATCAAAGATGTGAAAGACAGGAGAAGCCATATTCCTGTCCTAAGTGCGCTAAATGGTTTCCATGGAAATCAGACCTTGTTTGACATCAGCGGTCTCACACGGGGGAGAAGCCGTATTCCTGTCCTGGGTGTGGGAAATTTTTTTCACAGAAATCAGACCTTGTTACACATCAAAGATCTCACATGGGGGAGAAGCTATATTCCTGCCCTGTGTGAAAACGTATGCACAAAAAAAAAAAAAACTTGTCCCAAGTCAAAGATCCCACACAGCAATAAAGTCATATTCCCATCCCGTGCGTGAAAAATATTTTTCACAGAAATCAGACTTTTGTTATACTTCAAAGATCTCACACGGGGGAGAAGCTGTATTTCCTGGGTGTGGGAAATGTTTTTCAGAGAAGTCTAGTCTTTACAGACATCAGAGGATTCACATGGGGGAGAAGCTGTATTCCTGTCCTGGGTGTGGGAAATGTTTTTCAGAGAAGTCCAGCCTTTACAGACATCAGAGGATTCACACAGGGGAGAAGCCGTATTCCTGTCCTGGGTGTGGGAAATGTTTTTCAGAGAAGTCCAGTCTTTACAGACATCAGAGGATTCACACGGGGGAGAAGCCGTATTCCTGTCCTGGGTGTGGGAAATGTTTTTCAGAGAAGTCCAGTCTTTACAGACATCAGAGGATTCACACGGGGGAGAAGCCGTATTCCTGTCCTGGGTGTGGGAAATGTTTTTCAGAGAAGTCCAGTCTTTACAGACATCAGAGGATTCACACGGGGTAGAAACAGTATTCCTGTCCTGGGTGTGGGTAATGTTTTTAGAGAAGTCCAGTCTTTACAGACATCAGAGGATTCACACAGGGGTATTCCTGTCCTGAGTGTGAAAATTCTATATATGGGAATTGGACTTTGTAATACATTAAAGATAGGTGAGAAGCCATATTTCTGTCTTGAGTGTGGAAAATATTTTCCTGATAACTCTTTGGCACCATACATGGGTTGACTCTGTCCTCTGATGAACTTCCTCAGGACAGTATAAATAAAGAAAAAATTGAGTCCCACCCTAATAGAGATGTTTATTTTTTAATCCCCTCTTTCTCCAGGACAAAAAGTTACCTGAGGTGCAAAGATTAGGCGATGTGTCATGGGCCTGTAGGCAGGTTCAGTCTGTATTCTCCACTACAGGTGGCTCTCGACCAGTCATCTGGGGCAGTGATCCAGTTGGATGCCGATTTCCCATGTTAACTCGGTGGCCATCTTGGTTCAGGCAGAGTCTATTTAAAGCAATGCACATAATGGGTAAGTGAGCGCTCCTAGATCACTACAGCCGCTGAACACCAAAAGGTACCACAAAACAACCTTCACAGAATCATGTAAACTAAAAGGAGCAGTGCTTAAAAATAACATAGATATAGCATCAACATATGATCAGAACATACAAAAGTGCTTCAAAAGTTATGCGATAATCACGAAAAAAACACATATATAAGTGCATGTAAAGTGCAAAAATAATGAGCATATAATATCATTAGTGTCACATTAATGTGACCAATCAAGTGATAAGTGAGAAAAAAGTCCAACAATATCCCAGTGGGTTAGGTGATTTGAAAACCAAAGGAATTCCAGCAGTATAATCTGAGTGTGTTAGCATCCAAAACTGATAAAAGATTGCGCACTCACCAAATGCACAATCAGTATGCGCATGTAAGAGATACCCCTCTTAAGGTTAGCTCAGGAACTCGCTCCAGGATAGGGTCAGGTTTACTGTTGTCCTCTGTCTGCTCAACTATGGCTCTGGTCTCCTAGTGTGTGGCTCTGTGGGTAGTGAGAAGCTCCCAGGGATCCCCAGAAAAGAGGAGGCCCAAATAGCGTGATATTGCTTCCAATAAAATGAATTTATTAATCCAGCAGAACGTGAAATGACAGCTACTGACCGTATAAGGTATCCAAGATGGCCGCCGGGACCCATGTGGTGCCTGTAGTAAGACGTCTCTGCACTGTAGCTCCTCACTGACGCGTTTCGTACAACCGCACGTATTCATGGGGGAGTATGCATCCACACCTGGCCTGTATCCTGATTGCCGCCATACCTACCTGCTGCTGCACCTACGTTCCTGCATCCCCACCTGGCCGGAATCCTGGTTACCGCCATATCTACCTGCTGCTGCACCTATGTTCCTGCATCTGCACCTGACCTGTATCTTGGTTGCCGCCATACCTACCTGCTGCTGCACCTACGTTCCTGCATCTGCACCTGGCCTGTATCCTGGTTGCCGCCATACCTACCTGCTGCTGCACCTACGTTCCTGCATCCGCACCTGGCCTGTATCCTGGTTGCCGCTATACCTACCTGCTGCTGCACCTACGTTCCTGCATCCGCACCTGGCCTGTATCCTGGTTTCTGCCATACCTACCTGCTGCTGCACCTACGTTCCTGCATCCGCACCTGGCCTGCATCCTGGTTACAGCTATACCTACCTGCTGCTGCACCTACATTCCTGCATCTGCACCTGACCTGGATCTTGGTTGCCGCCATACCTACCTGCTGCTGCACCTACGTTCCTGCATCCGCTCCTGGCCTGTATCCTGGTTGAGGCCATACCTACCTGCTGCTGCACCTATGTTCCTGCATCTGCACCTGGCCTGTATCCTGGTTGCCACCATAACTACCTCCTGCTGCACCTATGCTCCTGCATCCGCACCTGGCCTGTATCTTGGTTGCTGCCATACCTACCTGCTGCTGCACCTACGTTCCTGCATCCGCACCTGGCCTGCATCCTGGTTACAGCCATACCTACCTGCTGCTGCACCTACATTTCCTGCATCCGCACCTGACCTGGATCTGGTTGCCGCCATGCCTACCTGCTGCTGCACCTACGTTCCTGCATCCGCACCTGACCTGTATCTTGGTTGCCGCCATACCTACCTGCTGCTGCACCTACGTTCCTGCATCCGCACCTGGCCTGTATCCTGGTTGCCGCCATACCTACCTGCTGCTGCACCTATGTTCCTGCATCCGCACCTGGCCTGTATCCTGGTTGCCGCCATACCTACCTGCTGCTGCACCTATGTTCCTGCATCCGCACCTGGCCTGTATCCTGGTTACAGCTATACCTACCTGCTGCTGCACCTACATTCCTGCATCTGCACCTGACCTGGATCTTGGTTGCCGCCATACCTACCTGCTGCTGCATCTACGTTCCTGTATCCGCACCTGGCCTTTATCCTGGTTGCCGCCATACCTACCTGCTGCTGCACCTATGTTCCTGCATCTGCACCTGGACTGTATCCTGGTTGCCACCATACCTACCTGCTGCTGCACCTACGCTCCTGCATCCGCACCTGGCCTGTATCTTGGTTTCCGCCATACCTACCTGCTGCTGCACCTTTGCTCCTGCATCCGCACCTGGCCCGCATCCGGATCTTCCAGTTCATCACCTGCCTACAGTCATCTCAAGACCCACCAGGCAATCATGCCACTCCTGGCTCAGCACCCTCTGTCCCCACTATCGGGCTTCAAGCGGGAGTAGTAAAAAGACACCTCCTCTCCATATCAGGCTCCCCAACCAGTTACGTGGCACAGTGTTAGTGATAGGTAAAGTTTCCGGTGGAGTAGGAAGAGATCAGGGCTACATCTACCTTCTCAGGAAGTTTCTCTTTTGGGTTGGATCAGCCAAACCACACTTCACCCCTTGTGGCTCCTTATCAGCTTCCCTGAGTCTTCAGAGCACTGTCTCTCCACTGCCGTAAATTGCACTGGATAGCTGAGCCTCCCTGTTGGGCCGTTATGTACTGTTGACCTACTTTTGAATACAATGTTCTTTGTAAAACGGGACTTGGTGTAATTTACTGCCCGCCACACCACTCTGCACCAACCCAACACTTGGCGGAAGTCAGCTGGATATGCCCCTTTTTTACAGCTGGTACAGAAGGAGGAGCGGGGATCATTATGGCACCGTTAGGAGTGGCCTTGGCCCTGGTGCTTAAGTTTAACAGGTCCAACATCTCCCTGCCTGAGTGGGAGGAGAGACTGGAGAGTACTGCGTGCCTGTTTCAGGTTCCACTCCAGCTGATTGCAGAGCTGGCCATCAACTCCCTTGAGGATGACACCCATCGAACAATAATGGTGCTACTGGATGACTTCCAGGCTAGCCTGGAACAAATTGTAGTGCGCCTGGAGGGCCTGTTTGAGGAGAACGTGACATTCCCAGAATTAAGGCAGAGGTTCTTCATCAGTAGGCAACAAGAGGATGAAAGCCATTTCACGGTAGCACTCCAGAATCTGTAGAAACGCCTACAGACGAAAGAAGTACATGACTGTGCCAACATAATTGCCTTAGACAGATTACTGAGGGACCAGTTTGTGGTGGGAATAAATTCCAGGCCTGTTAGGGGAACCTTACAGGAACGAATAAAAGTGCAACCCACCCTCTCTCTCAATGACACTGTAGTGGATGCGGTGGTGCGGGAATAGGAAGATATGGAAGCAACTGTAGTAGTGATAAAGAGGCATGAACTACTACACCTGAAAGATGAGGCCTTGGCCCCATTTTTCCTATTGGCCATGGAGACCAGAGCATGGCTTCCATGATGCAAGAGATGTCCATATTCAAACAAGAGTTGGCCTACCTCTCTGAGGGTGAGAATCCACTACAGAGGGACCTGAATGTAGGACAGAAGTGCTGGCGGTGTGGCCATCAATACAGATAGACTACCAGGTGGTGGAATGAGCAGGGGTTGTGGTGACTCACAGCCCAGTCAGCTCAGCAGTGCTTATTGTTCTGGACATGAACGCCTTGAAGGACATGGACTTACTCTGCTTGCTGGCCAGGTTTGAACATTCAAGATGGTGTGCATGGGACTATGGTCTGCCAGCTGTTTGGCTCAATGTGATAACAAGCCTTCGAGGCTATCGGCGAGGAGCTAGATGACAGACTGATTGGGTGGGGGTTGTCCGTATGTCTCATAAACAAAATATGCTCCTGGGACCCCTGCAAGAGGTCCCTGCCTTTCAGGGCTCACAAGAAGTCGCAAGGAGCCACAGTAATTGTGGAGCCCCACAAGGATCTAGGGGTACTGGGGTAGTGGTTGGCAGCACACACCTTGTCCAAAGTCTACAAGGGAAAGGTGCTAGTCCAGCTTGGAAACCTCCCCAATCACACTCCTGAACCACACCTTCATCTCAGACCTCTATGCGGTGCCCAGTCACTGCATCTCTGGGGCCAAGCAAGGAGTGGAAGCCATCTGTGCCCCATTTCAGGCTGCCATGATGACCCTGAATGAGGAGCAATACAGACTGCTGTTGGAACAGTTGGCTATTCCTTTCCAGGAGTATCCCTTACCACAACAGTGTCTTCTTCATCAGCTACTAGATACTGGTCTTTGCAACCATCCCGGAGGAGTAGGACTGCACTGTAGCAATAGACCACCCGATCCATAAGGGGGAACACTTCTCCCTTCCGGGAGTGATACGATCATATTCCCTGGCCCTCTGCTAGGAGGTCACATGTTACAGAGTGGGGTCATCCAGGAAAGAGCCCCAGCCCATGGGCCACCCCCGTTATCTTGATACAGAAGAAGGATGGGAGCTTTTGGTTCTGTGTGGACTATTGCAAGCTAAATGCCTGCACCCACAGGGATGCCTACCTGTTGCCCAGGGTGGAGGAGTTGCTCATGGCGCTGGGCCAAGTTAAAGTGAGGGAACAAGACTGAGAAAAGACTGCCTTTATCACCCCCTGGGACTATACGAATTTAGTCAGTCCGTTGGACTGAGTAATGTTCAG